ATTGTACCAGCTAGTAGTGTGCGCTACTAGCAAAAAGATTTCGTCTATTGGGCTTTTGCTTTGACAATTTGCCACTACCACTGGGCTAAGAATCGGTGGTCATGATAACCATAGACATTCTAGTGTCCTGTAAAGCATGGAATCCAATAAATCAATTATTGATAGCACCAAACAGACACCCCCGTGGTCATTCCCATAGGATATCGTCACATCATCGTACAGTTTACTTCACTTTTTTTCTTTGTGCTTCTTTCTTGCTAGAACGTTTTTAAACTCGGTAAAGTCTCGTACGCTTGATAAGTTGCTCGGTTATTTTACATTTCCTCCCAAAATTAGTGAAAAAAACACTTACAGATGTGTAACATTTTTTGGTACATATTTTAAAAAACGAAACAAGTAAGTGATTTACAAATGTATCCTCTCTCCGTAAATTGTTCAACACCGTCTTTGAACGAATATATTCATTTTCCGTTTTGCATCTTCATCGGAGAATCCGGAATATTGATTCTTATACACTATCTCTGAAATAAAATAAATTTTATATTTAAATCATGCATATGACTGACTTTTGAAGATAGATCTGATATCCGCATCCAATAAGGATAGCATGCGTTACCGGAGGTGTTCACAGATTGCGTGCTCTTCGATGTATGCCGCCCCATTTGAGCTGAAGGTATAAGGAAGTTGTGTATACCCGTCAAACCATATCTCAAATACATTTTCGGATCGTTTGTCTACCGCTTGAGGTCAAATATATAAGCTTTAATAAAATAAACATTCTTAATAATTGGGCTGAAATTTATGAATTCGCAAGCTGTCTTAGTGTTGCGCAGCTCTCCCTCAAGCATGTAAAAACCATCCGAATTTCACTGCCAACCTCTTTCGCACAGCAATAATGCAATTTGGAGAAAGTCTATTAAACTTGACAAGCAGTTTGTGAAGCGACGAATATATTTGAAGTTTTGTTTGATAAGACCGGCTAAAACTACGGAGTAGTGGTAGAGTAGAATGAGGAAACGCATTATTGAACAAAAGAGAAAAAATGACTGTGGTTTTCGGAATTGCCTGGGTTTGCGTAACTGATAGGACGGGTGTTTCAGCTTCCTCACGCAATAGTAAATGTGGGGAACGCCTGAGATTACTATCCATGGTGACACCAGAGATCACTCTAGACACAAAGTCACATTTAAGGCCAGCTGAGCCCCTTGGGAATGAGAAGGTGAAACTAAAGATGCATTCTAGGCACTTGGAAGTGTTAATACTAGGTTGGTTAGAAAATTGTTAGGTGTGGCATAACTTTTCAGTGAATGAATCAAATTACAAAGATGATAATTTGCAGCTCTGAATGACATCGTCAACCTACTTTTGGATGTGTGCACGAGGTGGGACTGAAATATCACTAAATGAAAGCAAAAAGAGATGTGAAAATAGAACGGCACCGTGAAGCATACCAAAATTATTAACTAGTGGTTTTGATGTACTCCTGCCTAATTTGGTGCATTGTACCCCTTCTGGGAAGTAGTCAGAAAACCATGAATGCAGCTACACTTCACAAGCACTGATGATGTCACCTCGGCTGGTGATGAAACGTTTGCAAACAAATTGCCAAGCTCGGCGAACAGGCGAAATAGAATTCAGTTCACCCGAGCTGCGAGAGCCAGTTTTCAATACTTTGTCAACAGCGATTACTTATGTTAGACAACGATCATCCAGACCCAACACACGAAGAAAAACCTCGTCATTGCTCACACAATGTTTTCACTGGACACGATCGAAACTTCGATGACATCGATAGTCGAATACGGAAAGTTTTTAGCGTCCTCAAAACGAAAAGGCCAGGTCTCTCAACCGTAAGGCAGAACGCTACGAACAACGGCCACGTACACCCTTCCCTTAAGTAAGGCGCGCAAGCTTGAACGTATTATTCCAGCTGCTGTCTAACCATGATCACTCATCGTTTCGACGGTAAAATCTGATAGTGACCAATTTCGGAAATGGGGTTTATCGAAAAGAAAATTCTCGCGATCATTGATACAGTTATCTGCACCAGTTTTCATGGTGCATTAAGAATAGTTGCAGGGCCACAGTTCATGGTTTATATATCTTATATCTTAGTAAGATTGAACCGAGGTAAAAAGAATGACAAAGCGCGTGCCAAATTCACAGTCTTGAATCACCGAATTCGCACTCTGGGGACACTTATTCGGCTTGTTCAGAATATTATGTGATCAATTAATCAACCCATTCATTCATTTAAATGATCCGGGACAAAATACGTTTTAGTTGACTACTGTTAAGTAAAAGACATTTTTAGATTAAATTGAATTTTAAATTGAGCCTTCGATGCTTTGCATCAAAGATGCAGAAGGAATATTTTCACGCTACTCGCATCTCAGGTGTTTTAGTGCCATCCTCAGTAGAAAGAGTTGCGTTATCACTACAGCAGGGGCTTATCTAATTTACTATCAAAATTAATATTTATTCGGTAAAGATATTCTCAAAAGACGGTAGATACACAGTATAAATCTTGTAGTCTGCCTGTGGGTCCAGATCTGGACACTCCTCTAATCATGTTTCGAATGCGGATCAGATCAGCTAGATTTCTTCGATACGGTCTTTGAAATGCTCGTGTTATTTCCATCATCGCAGCAAAGATAACCCCTTTTACTACTATGATAAATGGCTGTTCCTGTCCATCCTTTTCATTTTTGCGAATTCCACAAACCCGGGTATGCAGTAGCTCCAAAATCCAGTTATGACCGCCGGTTGGTATGATAAAGTAGCCTGAAAATATCATAGGCATATCTGTTGATTGAACGCAATTTCTCAGTGTGAGCTCGGGATTTCAACTTCGAGGTTCTCATGATTCCTGGGTCCTCTCTACAGTCCGAAATACGAAGAGTTTACCCCAGACCTAAGTGTATCTTATCGTTGTTCCTGTCTTGCAGCTGAATACAGATATGCTTATGAGAATTCAGAGGTGATTCCTGTATGTTAGATAATCTATTGAAGGCGTCTAAGCTTTGCGGTTGCTTGTGGTCCTCGTATTCCTTGACTACGCGCCAGAAGTTCAGATCGTTCTTCCAGATCAAGCGCGGAAATTTGAGCACTTCGCTAAGCTATTGCCGTGAACAGAGAACAGCAGAATGCATAAGACAACTACTTCACTTTATTGTGGCTGACTCTCTGGTTGGCTCCATGGTGGTCATGGAGTTTCGTGGGATCTTGGTCCGAGAGACGTCTCCAGCGTTACTGATCGTTTTGTTTTGAAAACTCTCCTCTAACCTTTTCACAGACAAGTGCGAACTGCAAGACCGCATTGTGTTGGTGCGCGGTTTCCAGTGTCACTGTATAAGCTTATTCACTATTCGATACTTGTTGCTGCAATCCAGGGGTCTATGCATACCTATCTGTTGGGCAGGTTTCCTTCATAGCCGTTGGATCATGCAGATCTCGTCTGCCCATTCAGAAGTGGCTATCTTTGCATCACTAAGACTTTTATACCTCAACCTAGGTAGCAGTTTCTCGTTATGAGGCCGCTGGTGCACGTCATAGCTTCTTTGAGCCATAGCTGAGAGTTGGGCACGTGATGGAGGTTAAAGGAATACGACAGTCTACTCACTCAAAGTTACTAATCGTATCACATACCCCATACAGCCCTAAAACAGACTCGAGGTTTCCCACTAATTGCTATATGCTTTACCTAGTGAGAGTTATCGATTTCGGTGGAAAGGATCTCCCCTCATAAATGCTTGGATCTATTCCTTGAAGTCCGGCTGTGTGAGACTTTATCAAAAGCCTTATTAAAATTCACAAAATGACTGCCGCTATATGGCGCTCCGACTTGGTCTGCGATCATTGTTTGTGCTTCATTTGGTTGAACAGATATGAGCGTCCCTCACGGAATCCAGATCCCAAAATGCTGATCACCCAGTGGTTCTCCATTTGATCTCTTCTTTAAGCCGAAACTAGCCATTCCATGCTTTCTAGTATGTAGGTAAGGTTGACTGTTTCTTAGTTTACTGCCTGTAATTTATTCCCGTTTTTGTACAACGGTAACACCGTTGTTCTCTTCCATTTATCCACTAATTTGCCATGTTCTATTAAAGTGTTGGAAGTTTTGGTCTACGGAGGTACAACTCAGTCCGTTAACCTTTTTCAGCACCATAGCATGTATTCTATTGGTTCCCGGGGATTCACGATGATGATGATGATGTATCAGTGGAAGATAGCAAGAAGCCACCTCTTTCACAAAATAATATTCATCCATTATGGGGACACAGTTTATCATCAGCGGTGTGGCCAAAATATCTGGCATGTAAACGGCAGTGTAGTGTTGAGACAACAATGCACTGTTTGCAATATTCGATTCAAGAAAGGCACCATTTTCTAAAGCCAATAAAATCCTTCTGTGTGATTCGGTCTTCTTGCTTAAGTAGACAAACAAATGCTCAGGCGCAGAATTTGATGCAATAACAGACAGACAGACAGACCTGATGATAATGCCATTTGTTTCCCTTATTGCAGTTCACAATTGTCTAATTTGTTTGTATCTCCCAACCCCAAACTTGTCGTATAACTTGGTATCCAGACTCGATTCTTCCAGTCTTTTCTGTCTGAAATGTTTATTTTTAGCTATCATATATGCAAACGTCACTAAAGTAATTTGTTTTTGTTTTGTTTTAATTTCAGGTCACCTGTGAATTTCCCACCTAATAGAAGCTTCCTTTTCGGATAAACCGTTTGCCTCGCCTTTTATATGAGTCTCAAGTTTGGCGAAATTTGTGGGACTTTGCTGCAGTGCGCATACTGTGTTCGAAGCCTTGTGTTTTAAACAAGGCTTGATCAGTTTCCTATTGGAATATTCGTTGTTATTACAAATCACACACCAGATTTATTCCTCAGTTGTTGTCCTGCCACCTCCAGCATTCCATCTACAGAACTCGTTCATTTAACCAGGAGGGTTACACGAAGGGAGACAAAAAAACGTTGTATTGCTAATGATGCAACTAACTTGCTCCGAGCACACATCCACCAAACAACTTTTCCCATTTGGCGCAACACGACAGAATGGAGAACGAAGCAAGAACGATTTTGAAGAGCCAGCTTTGACCGGATTACTAAACAAGGGTTGGAGATCTGTCGGGGTGTTGTGTGACGAGGAGGATCATAGGAGACAGAAGCGGATTAATCGCGGAAAATCTATGAATGCGCGTGGAAAGGGAAGTGTTCGTTCATGTGATCGACAGAGTGATGTTCACTCCAAAACCCCTCTGATTGAAGTGCATCGTTCCCGAACGATATCATTGGCAAACGACAAATTTGAAGGTAGCGGCCACGAAGGGGTTCAGCCGGCAAGTTCTTCTAAACTTGAAGCTACCTGGATAGATAATGAGCCAGTATCAAACGGGAAAGTGCCCGATTCGGAGCAATCTACCGTGAAAACACCCCGCTCTTGCTCACCAGATCAAGTTGCCGAAACCAAGCGTGTGCCTGATACAAAATTTACAAAGGATACTCAGGATTTTCCTCAAACCACAGACGGCCTCGATGTTTTGGTTAGTGGGAATCTTATACAGGACGCGTCCAGTTCTGTGCCGGACAGTACGGTTCATGATTCCGATTGCGATTCACGTGCACATGAGGAAGAAGACCATCTCGATTCCGAGGAACGTACCATCTCGCCTGTGTGCGAACTGACGGAATCGGACGAACTAAATGGAACAGATGTGAGCCCTCGTCCGGAGCTAGACACAGAGGAGAACAAAGATGTCGAACTTGAAACTCCTTCCGGTGAGGCCGGGAAAACACACAAATCGGAATTTGAGGAAAATAAAACTAACTTAATTGTGAACTATCTGCCGCAAAATATGTCCCAAGAAGAGATACGCAGTTTGTTTGCTACTATTGGCGAAGTGGATAGTTGCAAACTGATACGGGACAAAAATACGAGTAAGTTCATTGGCGTTGATGGATTCCACGAGCTGGCTCTCTTAACTAGGCTAAGCAACATAAATCCGGGCTAATTCTCGATCTGCTTTGACTCCACATTATATCCCATGTCATTGATATTGCTCGTTCATCATCTAGCAACCATGATCCGGCTTGCTGTAGTTTGTTGTAAGAGTAGTCCTATCAAAGTTTTTCCTTTTTTCGTAGACAATCCACCCCAGATGCTGAGTGTACTCAAACAAGGAATTGATGGAGATTACCATCTCACGAGACACGAATACTAAACATTATGGCGTTTTTACTTAAAAAAACAGTACATGATTTATTGAATTCCCATGATTATTAATCATGGGAAGTTTTTTTGATTGCTACCAATCATATTTATTTTCCCCGTTAATTGCAGTCCAAAGCCAAACACTTCTGGGAATTGAGTTTATCCAGGAGAAGTCCTCTAATTGGCGAGCTATTTCTCTCTCTCGCTCATTTTGTTTGTGCAATTAATACATCCATCCGCATGGTCTTCTGTACGTTTGAGTCTTCCCCTTTTACATAGGACAGTCAGCTTCTTAAACTCATTTACTTAAAACTAATGTACCGATACCCCCAGTGCGCTAAAGGAATGTTTTGGATGTCTGTGTGTGCGTGTGCTCTTTGATCCTCAGTTTGCTACAGGTGAGAGCTTATCAGACAGTTGGCTAGACAGCTCATGTTGTTGTGTTTGAGATGGGGCGAATGCAAATAAAAGAAAGTTCTGTCTGACAGACTATAGGATGCCATTTTCGCCATTGGATTTCCTCAGATTTGTCTTTGAATCGGGTGGGTTCTCCGGGCTTAAATATGTCCCAAATAGCAGCCTTATTATCAACCAAAGGTGGTTCAAGGTGTACAGAAAGAAGCGTTTACTCAGTTCCCTAGTGTTATTGATTCAATTGAATGGTCAATAAGTCACTGTTTACGATGCATTTATGGCCTTTTCCCTGTAGGATTCATCAAAAGGCGGCAATGGTATGAGGGAAACTGAGCACAGCACGTTTCCGTGCGGTCCTTTCCGACGGACCGTTGTACTCGTTCATTTTATCAAACGATCCATCCATCCGTTTTCGGTGGCCTCTTTTTATTGACGTTCGAACATTCCTCACCGTACACCGCAATATTGCACGAATCTGATGGGGCAACCGTGCAAACAATACAGAGATATAAGGTGCAAAGTCTTAGCTAATCGTAATTGCCAATTAAAGCAACCGATGGATCTTCGAAGAGTACTGCGGTTGGGGTATGTCAAGCATACTCTCACTAGAACGGTTGTACATACGCTTAGGAGCAAGATGAAAAATACTGTGGGGGTGTCATACCGGTTTCACGGAACGAGGGATATCTTATACCTACACTGAGATCAAATGGCACAAGGTATTGAGGACCATTTGGTGATAAAATATCTTAACCGGTC